AGGCTGGTCTCAAACTCCTGACCTCAGGTGATCTGCCTGCCTTAGCCTCTCAAAGTGTTGGGCTTACAGGTGTGAGCTACCACATCCAGACTGATTTTTTGGTTTTTCTTTTTTTTGAGACACAGTCTTACTCTGTTGCCCAGGCTGGAGGGCAGTGGTGTGATCCTGGCTCACTGCAACCTCCTTCTCCCGGATTCAAATGATTCTCCTGCATCAGCCTCCCAAGTAGCTGGGATTAAAGGTGTCTACTGGCCAGGCGCCAATCCCAGCACTTTGGGAGGCCAAGGCGGGTGGATCACGAGGCCAAGAGATCGAGACCATCCTGGTCAACAAGGTGAAACCCCGTCTCTACTAAAAATACAAAAATTAGCTGGGCATGGTGGTACGCGCCTGTAGTCCCAGCTACCCGGGAGGCTGAGGCAGGAGAATTGCTTGAACCCAGGAGGCGGAAGTTGCGGTGAGACGAGATCGTGCCATTGCACTCCAGTCTGGGTAACAACAGCAAAATTCTGTCTCAATCAATCAATCAATCAATCAATAAAAGTGTGTACCACCACGCCCAGGTAACTTCTGTATTTTTAGTAGAAACGGGGTTTCACCATGTTGGCCAGGCTGGTCTTGAATCCCTGGCCTCAAATGAGCTGCCCGCCTCGTCCTCCCAACATGCTGGGATTACAGGCGTGAGCCACCACACCCAGCCAGATGCTGATTTTTTTTTTTTTAAGATGGGGTTTCACCATGATGGCCAGGCTGGTCTTGAACTGACCTCAGATAATCCACCCACCTCGGTTTCCCAAAGTACTAGGATTATAGGCATGAGCCACCGCACCTGGCCCCAGATACTGATATTTTTTAAAGAAGAAATTGACTTCAAAAGATCTAAATTACAAAAAGAAATAATAAGAAAGGCAACTGGTAGACACATGGGTAAATCTCAACATCTGATTCTAGCAATGTAAAATCTCTGTCAAATCATTAGCTCATCACTAAGGTAAATGAGCAAGACCTCAGAAGCCACAAAGAATACAGACTTTACAGAACTATATAGGAAGAAATAACAGCAAAAAATAACAACAACAAATCTTCAGAATGGGGGGGAATTGATTTCCAGAGTTGTTACATTATGTAAAATATCCAGTTCTCAACAAAAAAAATTGAGAAATATAAACAAAACAACAAAGAAAGACATTAAGAAAGAAAAGCAGGTCCATTTGAGGATGGGGGAAGCAGACAGTAGAAACTATCTTAGAGGAAGCCCAGACATTGGACTTACTAGAGGAAGACTGTAAATCAGCTATTTTAAATATGGAACAGGAGCTAAAGGAAACCATGTTCAAAAGAACTAAAGGAAAGTATAACAATATCTTACCAAATAAAAAATATCAATAAAGAAATTAAAATTGTTAGAAAGACCAAATAGAAATTCTGGGCCAGGCGTGGTAGCTCACGTCTATAATCCCAGTACTTTAGGAGGCTGAGGTGGGTAGAGCACTTGAGTCAGGAGTTCAAGACCAGCCTGGCCAACATGGTAAAACCCTGTCTCTACTAAAAATACAAAAATTAGCCAGGCATGTTAGTGCGCACCTGCAGTCCCAGCTACTTGGGAGGCTGAGGCAGGAGAATTCACTGGAACCTGGGAGGCAGAGGTTGCAGTGAGCCGAAATTGTGCAATGGCACTCCAGCTGTGGTAACGGAGCAAGAGTCTGTCTCAAAAAAAAAAAAATTCTGTAGTTTATAATGGCAGAAATAAAAATGTCACTACAGGGGCTCAATAGCAGGTAAGATTCAGCAGAATTGGAAATAGGTCAATTGAGATTATCCAGTCTGAGGCAAAGGAAAGAAAAGAAATAGAGACTCAGAGACCTATAGGACACCCTAATGCTTACCAATATATTCATAATGGGAGTCAGAGGGAAAGGGAGATAGGAACAGAAAGAATACTTGAAGAAACAATAGCTCTAAAATTCCCCAAATTTGATTTTAAAAAACCCAACAATCTACATCTTCATGAAGCTCAATAAATTCCAAGTAGGACAAACTCAAAGATATCCATACCTAGACATCTCATAGTTAAACTACTGTGATATGTTTTGAAAGCAGTAAAAGAGAAGTCATTCATCAAGTCCAAGGAAGCTCTAATAATGCTCTTGGTTGATTTATCATTGGAAACCACTGAAGCCAAAAAGTGGTGGGATGGCATATTGAAAGTGGTGAAAGAAAAAGACTGTTGATCAAGAAATCTATATCCAACAAACTATTCTTCAAAAATGAAGGATCTACATCATGAGGAGTTCCACTGACCCACTCCTATATGAAAATTATTAATAACAACATCAAAGAAAAACCCAAATCAAGCATTCACCAGCATAACAACAACAAAGCCTCTAAAGCCTCTGGAAATGGTCCTAAGAGCAAATAGCCAACAAATAAACATGTATTCAAGAAAATCTGGCTGGGCATAGTGGCTCATGCCTGTAATCTCAGCACTTTGGGAGGCCAAGGTGGGAGGATTTCTTGGGGTCAGGAGTTCAAGACCAGCATGGGCAATGTGGTGAGACCTAATCTCTATAAAAACTAAAAAAATAAGCAAGATATGGTTGCATGCTTGTGGTTCCTGCTACTCAGGAGGCTGAGGCAGGAAGACCCCTTTTGCCCAGGTGGTATAGACTACAGTGAGCCATGATCTCACCACTGCACTCCAGCCTGGATGACAGAATGAGACTGTTTGTAAAAAAAAAAAAGAAAAAAGAAAAGAAAAAAACTGTAAAAAATATTTGCTGCAATGGACTTAATGTGTGTCCCTTAAAAAAGTATATATTGAAACACTAATCCCAATGTGATATTATTTAGAGGTGGGGCCTATAGGAAGTAACTGGATCCTAAGGATGGAGCCCTCATGAATGAGATTAGTGCCGTTATAAGAAGTCTAAAAGTTACCTACCTCTACACCATGTAAGGATACAATGAGAAGTTGGCTGTCTGCAAACTGGAAGAGGGCTGATATGGTTTGGCTGTGTCCCCACCCAAATCTCATCTTGAATTGTAACTCCAACAATTCCTGCATGTCATAGGAGGAACCCAGTGGGAGGTGACTGAATTATGGGGGTGGGTCTTTCCTGCACTGCCCTCATGATGGTGAATGAGTCTCATGAGATCTGATGGTTTGCTGGGCGTGATGACTCATGACTGTAATCCCAGCACTTTGGGAGGTTGAGGTAGGTGGATCACCTGAGGTCAGGAGTTCGAGACCAGCCTGACCAACATGGAGAAACCCTGTCTCTACCAAAAATACAAAAAATTAGCTGGGCGTAGTGTCGGGCGCCTGTAACCCCAGCTACTCGGGAGGCTGAGGCAGGAGAATTGCTTGAACCCGGGAGGTGGAGGTTGTGGTGAGCTGATATTGTGCCATTGCACTCCAGCCTGGGAAACGAGTGAAACTCTGTCTCAAAAAAGAAAAAAGAGATCTGATGGTTTTAAAAATGGGAGTTTCTCATTTAAGATGTGACTTGCTCCTCCTTGCCTTCCACCATGATTGTGAGGCCTCCCCAGTGCCATGGAACTGTAAGTACATTAAACCTCTTTTTCTCCCCAGTCTTGGGTATGTCTTTATCAGGAGTGTGAAAACAAACTAATACAAGGACCAGAACCTGACCATGGTGGCATCCTAATTTCACACTTTCAGCCTCCAGAAGTGTGAGAAATAAATGTTTATTGTTTAAAGCACTCAGTCTATGATAATTTTTTTTTAGCAGCCAGAACTCACTGAGACATTTGGTAAGACAGGTAAGAATCTGTGCATATGTACAGTAGCGGCATCAAGATAGATGCCTTGCTGCCCTATCCCCATTGTGAGGCAGAGACCTACTCTCCAAACTTCTGTAGCCAAGAACACAAGACTCTTTCTCCCCTCAGAATCTAGCTGGAAGGCTTCCTTCTCAGGAGGAGAAGGACTTTAGTGCCTTTCTATTGCTGAGGCTATATCCCAGGTGAATGGGGTCAAAAGGTAGAGACTCACTTGTTTCGCCCAACCTACACTCATGGAAAGGAGGCTCTACCTTGGGCATGGCACACTGAGAATACTGGAGGAAATGCAGGGAAATGCAAATCAAAACCACAATGAGAACAACACTTCACACCTAATAGGATAGTTCTAATAAAAACAAAACAATGAAAAGAACAATGTGTTGAGGAGGAATGTGGAAAAACTTGGAGCTGTCATATTCCTAGTGGAAATGTAAAAATGGTGCAGGTGCTTTGGAAGATAGTCTGGCAGTTACCTCAAAAGGTTAAACACTATGTAACCCAGAAATACTCCTAGGAACATACCTAAGATATCTGAATGGTGCCATTTATAGAAAACATCCAGAATAGGCATATCTATAGCAACAGAAAGTAGATTAATCATTGCTAGGGGCTTGAGGTGGTGGTGACTGGACATTGACTGGTAGTGGTTATGGGGTTTCTTTTTGAGGTGATAAATAGATTCTGGAACTAACAGTGGTAACTGTTGTACAAGTTTATGAATATAAGAAGTCCACTGAGGCCGGGCGCAGTGGCTCAAGCCTGTAATCCCAGCACTTTAGGAGGCCGAGGCGGGTGGATCATGAGGTCGAGATCGAGACCATCCTGGTCAACATGGTGAAACCCCGTCTCTACTAAAAATACAAAAAATTAGCGGGGCGTGGTGGCGCGTGCCTGTAATCCCAGCTACTCAGGAGGCTGAGGCAGGAGAATTGGCTGAACCCAGGAGGCGGAGGTTGCGGTGAGCCGAGATCATGCCATTGCACTCCAGCCTGGGTAACAAGAGAGAAACTCCGTCTCAAAAAAAAAAAGAAGTCCACTGAATTGCACACTTTAAAAGGGTGAATTCAATGGTATATGAATTATATCTCAAAAAGAGACAAGAGAAATAGTTACTCTTCACTTAGTCATTACACCTTAGGAGGTTGGAAATCACTTGGTCAGCTTCGTGTAGTGTCAACCAAAGACTAATATCTTACCTCAGTTCCTGTTTCTCTCCAATCCCAAGTCCGACTGCCCCCTGGCCATACTTTGCAGTCCTTATAGGTTGTATTAGAGCCTTGTACTTTCATTTGCCCCCATGATAAGGAAGCAATTTCAGGGGAAGTCATAAGGAACTTCACTGAAATCTGAAATTAAAAGAAAAATATACTAAATCAGTTATAAAGTAAGGCTGAAAGTTTCAAAATACAGTGCTAGTAAGCCCCGAATCTCCATGATTTAAGAAGTGTTTTTTTGTTTATGTGGTTGTCACTTCTTTGGAGGTCTAAAAAGTAACTACTATTCTTGGAATCCTGAATCATCCAGCCATAGAAACCAGATATTACAATTACTTCGGAGACTCCAGAGGGAATCCTCAGGATATTTTTGAGAGAAAAAATTAAGAGATGAAGATTTACTTCAGCATGATGGAGTGAGGTTGACACATTCTCTCCCCAAGAAGAAACTATAAAGCTAGAAAAAACTGTCAAAAACAATAATTTGTCATTCTAGAAATAAAATTAAAGGCAGATACCATAATCAGAGAAATGCTTATTCATGAAGATCACTAAATTTCAGGTAAGAACAGCAAATTTTTTTGTTGTTCTTGCCTGGAAGGACTCCCATTCCACCACTCCAGTTCTGTTGTAAGTGAAGTTGAACCAGGTTGGGGCAGGACATGAAATTGAATAGCCTTGCTGCCATGGCCAAAGGAGGCTTACTTAACTTGGAGCTGTTATCAGTTTAAACAGGTCATCTCAGTGGCAAGCAAACATGATGGCAGGTGGCTTTGCTTGCATTATGTTGCCTTTCGTTTGGGGCAAGCAATGGATTGGCAAACTGGTGAGATTTAACAGGAATTTCCCAGGGATGACATAGCCATAGGGGGCTTTATAAGCTCTCTACATATCCCGATTAAAGCAGAGGCTGCAAGGATATGCATTGGCGACTTGGAAGACAGACCTAAGACACCCAAACATTCTAGGCTGATGGATCCTGAGCTCAGTGGATAAGAAAGTTCCAGAAGGCCTTGCAGAATGTAAAAGCCAGTGAAGACATATAACAGCTGGACTTTGAATGCATTCCCCAGTGCACCCAATGATCCATCAATAGAAAGAGAAAGTTTTATTGGCTCAAGGTGTTTGAGCCAAATGTTTAATTAATGTTTGGTTGAACACTAAGCTAAGCAGACACCAAGGAGAACCTTAGGTAACCGAGTTTTATTTAAAAATAAAATCAAGGAAAAAACCCTAACAGAAAAGAGACTTCAGTAGCCACACATTACATGGGAGAATTCATAGATTTAGTTTAGTGCTATGGTTTGAATGTTTGTACCCTTCCAACTTCATGTTTAAATCATCTCTTAAAGATGAGGAATCTTTAAGAGCTGATTGGGCCATGAGGGTTCCACCCTCATGAATGGATTATGCTGTTATTGCAGGAGTAGTAGGTTTATTATAAAAGGACAAGTATGGCCCCCTTCTATCTTTCTCTTCCCCCTCTTTGCCCTTCCACCATGTGATGACTTCCATCATAGGATGATGCAGCAAGAAGGCCCTCATCAGATGCCAGCCAATTGGTCTTGGACTTCCTAGCCTCCAGAACTGTGAGAAACAAATTTATTTTCATTATAAATTACCCAGTTTCAGATATTCTGTTACAGGAGCACAAAATGGACTAAAACATTTAGTATGGGCAAATGGCTAAACACACACACACACACACACACACAAAGAACAACTTTCAGGGGGAAAAGTTATTTCCCTAGGCTGCATGCCCTCCAGACTTTCCTACAATATCTTATCTAAAATGTCAGTTTTCAACAAAAAATTACAAGGCATGCAAATAAACAAAAACTATGACCCACACTCAGTAAACTGAAATTGTATCTGGGGCTGGGTGTGGTAATGTCTGTAATCCCAGTACTTTGGGAGGCCAAGCTGGAATTTCACTTGAGGCCAGAATTTCAAGACTAGCCTGGGCAACATAAGGAGACCCAGTTTCTTTAATTTTATTTTATTAGAGTTTTATTTTTCTAATAGAAATACATTATAGATACTTTTATTTTTTTGAGATAGAGTCTGGCTCTCTGTCGCCCAGGCTGGAGTGCAGTGGTACAATCTTGGCTCTTTGCAATCTCCACCACCCAGATTCAAGTGATTCTCCTGCCTCAGCCTCCCAAGTAGCTGGGATTACAGGTGTGCACCACCATGTTCTGCTAATTTTTGTATTTTTAGTGGAGATGGGGCTTCACCGTGTTGGCCAGGCTAGTTTCAGACTCCTTACCACAGGTGATCCACCTGCCTTGGCCTCCCAAAGTACTAGGATTACAGGCATGAACCACTACACCTTGCCTAAAGACACTTTTAAATTCAAAAGGTGCTAAACAGTAGAGAGAGAAAATTTCCTTGCTCCCGTGAACACCAGATACCTAGTTCTCATGTTTCTTTTCAAAGGTATACTGTGCATTAATCATTCAAATCTCTGGGTGCTGTGTGTGTGTGTGTGTGTGTGTGTGTGTGAGTCTATGTGTGAATTGTCCACACTCTCCATACTCTAATATTACAGAAATGATAATGTGCTCTCAACCCTGGTCTTTATTTTGCTTTTTTGCTAATACCTTGAAGATTGTTACATGTATGTAACATAAGTTCCAGAATACATAAGACATGCAGGTTTGTTCACAGGTACACATGAGCCATCATGGTTTGCTGCACCTATCAACCCATCATCTAAGTATTAAGCCCCACATGCATTAGCTAATTATCCTGATGCTCTCCCTCCCCCGGACCCCCACCTGCAAGCTCCAGTGTGTGTTCCCCTCCTTGTGTCCATGTGTTCTCATTTTTCAGCTCCCACTTATAAATGAGAACATGTGATGTTTAGTTTTCTGTTCCTATGTTAGTCTGCTAAAGATAATGGCTTCCAGTTCCATCCATGTCCCTGCAAAGAACATGATCTCATTCCCTTTTATGTTTGCGTGGTATATCATGATGTATATATACTACATTTCCTTTATCCAGTCTATCACTGATGGGCATTTGGGTTGATTCCATGTCTTTACCATTGTAAACAGTGCTGCAATGAACATATGCGTGCATTTATCTTTATAACAGAATGATTTCTATTCCTCTGGGTATATACCCAGTAATGGGATTGCTGGGTCAAATGGTATTTCTGGTTCTAGGTCTTTGAGGAATTGCTTCCTCTGTCTTCCACAAAGGCTGAACTTATTTGCATTCCTACAAATAGTGTAAAAGCATTCCTACTGGGGGACCTGGTTTCTACAAAAACAACAAGAACAACAACAAAAAAGTGGCCGCGTGTGGTGGCTCACACCTGTAATCCCAGCACTTTGGGAGGCCAAGGCGGGTGGATCACAAGGACAAGAGATTGAGACCATCCTGGCCAACATGGTGAAACCCTGTCTCTACTAAAAATACAAAAATTAGCCGGGCGTGGTAGCATGTGCCTGTAGTCTCAGCTACTTGGGAGGCTGAGGCAGAAGGAGCACTTGAACCTGGTAGGCAGACATTACAATGAACCAAGACTGTGCCACTGCGCTCCAGCCTGGTGACACAGCAAGACTGTCTCAGAAAAAAAAAAAAAAAAGGCCAGGTGTGGTGGCTTACACCTATAGTGTTGGCTACACAGGAGGCTGAGGCAGGAGGATATCTTGAGCCCTGGAGTATGAGGCTGCAGTGAGGAATAATCATGCCACTATACTCCAGCCTGGGTGACTGAGCAAGACCCTGTCTCCAAAAGTTAGTTAATTAATTAATTTATGAAGAAACTGTATCTGAGTAATTGAGTATTACCAAAAGTCTGACATTTAGCAAAGACTTCCAAGAAAGTACTATAAGGAAAATAATGCACAAAGAAATAAAGAAAAATATGGTAAGAATGACTCAACAAATATAGAATCACAATAAGGAAACATTTCAAAAAAGAGTAAAATAGAAATTCTAGCACTCGTAAGCATAGTAAGTAAAACGTGCTTGAATCAGTCAGAGTTAGCCAGAGAAACAGAAGCAGATGATTATAAATATTAAGAGACTTTTTTCATAAAAGTGGCTCAGAAAATTTTGGAGGCTGTCAAGTCTGAAATGTGTAGATAATACTGGTAAGCTCCTAACTCTTGGGCAAGAGTTATTATAGTACCGAGGCAGTATTTCTTCTTCTTCAAGTAAACATCAGTTTTGCTTGGACAAAACTGATTAGAAGAGGCCACTCAGAGTATCAAGGATAATCTCATATATATACTAGTCTACTGACTGTAGATGTTAACCATATCTACAAGATATGTTCACAGCAACACTTAGATTAGTATTTGGTTGAATAACTGGGTACTATAACCTTATCACATTGACAAACAAAACAGTCACCGTCCATATCTTTTTAATTTGGCCTCTATATGTATCTCCTTAACCATATATAATATCCAAATAAAGAGGATTAGAAGTCTTACTTCTGATTAACATTAATAAGTAATAACCCATTTTTGCAAGTTCAGCTTATTAATAATAAAGAGACAGGGTCTCATTCTTTCATCCAGGCTGGAGTGCGGTAGGGTGATCTTAGCTCACTGCAACCTCAAGCTCCTGGGCTCAAGAGATAGCTTCCAATCTCAGGCTAGTTCCTAGCTGGAACTAGAGGTGTGTGCCACCACGTCCAGCTAATTTTGTAAACTAGAGCCATGGTCTTACTATGTTGCCCATGTTGGTCTCCAAATCCTGGGCTCAAACAATCTATCTTCTCTCCTCAGCTTCCCAAAGTGCTGAGATTATAGGCATGAGCCACTGTGCCTCAGTTTCTGAATGTCCATCTAAAAAATATGTAGCAGAGGGCTGGGTGTGATGGCTCATGCCTGTAATCCCAGCACTTTGGGAGGCCAAGACAGGTGGATCACTTGAGGTCAGGAGTTCAAGACCAGCCTGGCTAACATGGTGAAACCCTGTCTCTACTAAAAATACAAAAATTAGCCAGGCATAGTGGTGCACACTGGTAGTCCCATCTACCTGGGAGGCTGAGGTAGGTGAACTGCTTGAACCTAGGAGGCGGAAGTAGCAGTGAGCTGAGATTGCACCACTGTACCTTAGTGCAATGTGAGACTCCGTCTCACAAAACAAAAACAAAAACAAAAAAACAA